TCTGAAATGAAGGCCAAAGAGCACAAATGCGAGGCAAGATAGGACGACTGTTCGCCAGGCCCGAACCGCCCCAACGGTATCATTGTCGACTATTCAACGTACTACAGCCACGTCTATACCTCTCTTTTTTTTAATGGTTTTATCAGATACTAAAGTCCATGCCGCTAACGCAGGATTAACTGAAAAAAATATATTAGTGGATGCTACAAGGAAACTGCCGACGAAATTAAGCCTCTGAAAGGCCAAAGATCACAAATGCGAGGCAAGATAGGACGACTGTTCGCCAGGCCCGAACCGCCCCAACGGTATCATTGTCGACTATTCAACGTACTACAGCCACGTCTATACCTCTCCTTTTTTTAATGGTTTTATCAGATACTAAAGTCCATCCCGCTAACGCAGGATTAACTGAAAAAAAATATATTAGTGGATGCTACAAGGAAACTGCCGACGAAATTAAGCCTCTGAAAGGCCAAAGATCACAAATGCGAGGCAAGATAGGACGACTGTTCGCCAGGCCCGAAACCGCCCCAACGGTTATTGTCGACTATTAACTACAACTACACAGCCACGTCTATACCTTCTCTTTTTTTTTAATGGTTTTATCAGATACTAAAGTCCACGCCGCTAACGCAGGATTAACTGGAAAAAAATATATTAATGGATGCTACAAGGAAACTGCCGACGAAATTAAGCCTCTGAAAGGCCAAAGAGCACAAATGCGAGGCAAGATAGGACGACTGTTCGCCAGGCCCGAACCGCCCCAACGGTATCATTGTCGACTATTCAACGTACTACAGCCACGTCTATACCTCTCTTTTTTTTAATGGTTTTATCAGATACTAAAGTCCACGCCGCTAACGCAGGATTAACTGGAAAAAAATATATTAATGGATGCTACAAGGAAACTGCCGACGAAATTAAGCCTCTGAAAGGCCAAAGAGCACAAATGCGAGGCAAGATAGGACGACTGTTCGCCAGGCCCGAACCGCCCCAACGGTATCATTGTCGACTATTTAACGCACTACACCCACGTCTATATCTCCCGTGGTAACGTCCACCGTCTCACGGCGCTTGTCTGAGGCGGGGTTACGCTCACAGAGGCGTTTAAGACGTTTGTCTTTGACCCCACAACATCGGCGAAGTCGTCTGGCGTGGTGTCGCAGCCGATCATGGCTGCCATCAGACTGGCATCGTATAGTGTTCAGCGGTGAATCCCGCTTCACTCTTGATGCAGATGACCCCGTATTCGTGTCTGGAGAGGACGGTGCAAGCAGTCCCACTCAGGCTTTGTTTTACAAAGGCATACAGCCATAACCCCTGATGTGATGGTGAGGGGCAATATTTCTTATGACAGCAAGTCATCTTTAGTTATCCTCCGTACATCTTTATTAACGATATGTTGATACCATCCTGCGGCCGGTTGCATTACCCTTCATGGCACGTCATCCTGGGGCCATTTTCCAACAAGATAATGCCAGGCCACATACCGCTCGCATATCTCTGGACTGTCTCCGTGCGGTTGATACTCTTCCTTGGCCAGCAAGGTCACCAGACCTTTCACCAATCGAGCATGTCTGGGATATGGTAGACCGCCAGATTCGGGCATCACAAAATATCGCAGATCTGGAGCGACAACTTGATGAATGCCTTGCAGAATGTACCGCGGATAACATTAGGAACCTCTACCACTCCTTGCCTCGACGAATTCAAGCATGCATTGCCGCCAGGGATGGTTCGATCAACTACTAATTTAAACACTTAATGAATGATTGTGAGCCATGAACAGGAACTATGACCTTGATTTTTTAATCATTTTATTATCTGTGTATGAGCCATACACATATTCGATTTCATCAAAAGCAACCACTTTCTTCATGGTGCATCGATTTTTTTGCAAAAGAGTGTACATTTCTTGTCACCCACATAGTATTATTATATGCACTTTTTCGTCTAAAGGGCTTTTCCATGAAGAACTATTGTTTTCGTTTTACGATTTTACGTTGAAAACTTTAAAACGCTGTATCACTTTTCAAATCGTTTCCACCAAATAGTCTCGCCCTGTATTATATTTGAAGAAGTTAAATAATGAAGAATCTGCATAAATGTATGCATGTTTCTCACATTGTGATAAAACAACGGTATCTAGAGCCATCCAATTTTGAATGACGTGTTTTTGTTTTTACTCAACATTTTTTCCAATAATCTGCTAGACGAATTATGCTTATGCTAGAACTTTTATGGAACAAAAGTGCTTAATCATGACGAAGATTAGGTGCGAAATTGTTTCTAAGTGCTTATTTAGCTAAAATCACGATCGGAAGTTTCCGGAAAGTAGTGGAACAAACGCGCACAGAAATTTGTTTTTACAAGGCAAATTTATATATGAAACCCTCTAAATTATCCATTATAAAAGTCGCCACAAAATAATCTGTGACTGGAACTGTGTACTTCTCAGATTATTGCTAAAGTCCTAGCTAGTAACCTTTATCACCTTACCATAATATCGCCAAACTACCTGTTACTATATCCCAAAGTTTAGCCGATAAGGTGAAGATCTATATCTAGTTTGATAACAAAAGTTAAGTTAAAGTGATAACAAAGTTTGAAAAGTGAAACGACATTGAAAGTTTTCAACGCCAAATGCCAAAACGAAATTAATAGCTCTTCATGGCTAACGTCCTTTGGACTGAAACGAATCTAGTAAATTATCGCAATTAAAGCAATACATATTTATAAGATAAATTTATACTCAATAAGCAACTCGCATTCTTCTCAATTATTTAACAAGCGAACGAGAAGACTTAAACGAACACAGAATTTTAATTATTAAATAATAGAGATTTAAATTTTTTAAAATTTTTCATTGTAAATTATTTTACAATCAGAAATCTATCGTAGAACAGGGTTAAATGCATTTACGCATACTAACTTATTCAAGATATTAACTGTATTTTCATTAATAAACTACTAAGTTTTCAATGCATTTTATTCCGCTAAATTTATAACCATCGTATAATGAAACTAATTTCGCATGCCATTACATAATAATTAAAGCGAAGCAGAGGTCCAATTACTTGGGCCCTTTTTCCTTTTCTCTGCACCGATTAAAATTAAATCTGGGTGAATCTTCGGATTATGGTAACTTGGCCATTTTTTGGCGACCAACCCTGCTACCAGCAACCTGCTAGTTTTTTTTTTTTTTTTTTTTTTTTTTTTTTTTTTTTTTTTTTTTTTTAACTCAAAATTTTTTTCCAACAATCTGCTAGCCGAATTACGCGTATGGATAGATTGGATTGGATTAGAACTTTTATGGATAGATTGGATTGGATTATTCAATTATGGCAAAGTACACGAGGGCTATCTGCCTGAAGAGAGGGTGCCTTCGTGGAGGACTTTCTAAGGGAAAGTGTCTCGTATACGCGTTACACATGGCGAAAGCCACGAAAACGCCCATGCAGCCAGCCCGTTCGCGGGACTCGAACCTCGGAACGAACTACCAGTGTTCAGCGTCTTTACCGCTCAGCCGCTGGTGGACCCTAGAACTTTTATGGAACAAAAAGTGCTTAATAATGACGAAGATTAGGTGCGAAATTGGGAGAAAGGGCAGAATAGCCCACTGCTTCGCGCGTTTTTAAGAATTGCACATACGCGGTATCCATGTACACGTCGACCTATTTTCACTTAAAAAAACATCCCAGAATCTCACAAAAATGGCATTGCGCACACTCCTGATCCATGTATACATCGATCTATTTTCACTTAAAAAGTCAAAAAAAAAAAAAAAAAACTGACAAAAATCCACTTCTTAATCTTGTAAAAAGCGCCAAACAAATAAGTGGGCGATTCTGCACTTTAGCAGCGAAATCGTTTCTGCTTATAGCTAAAAGTATATAAGTGCTTATAGCTAAAAGTATATAAGTGCTTATAGCTAAAAATCACGATCGGAATTTTCCCGAAAATGTCACATGGCATGTCTCATGATCTCTCATTTTTTTATACCATATACCTCTTACCATATTCCAAAGATTAGCCTAAATGGTGTTTTTCTGTTTTAAATATTTTATTTGATTTAAATGGCACTTTTTTTATTAATATCATACATTTATTACAAACTAAAAATGCAAAAACATTTAGTAATGTTTATAATGTTGTTAATTTTAATATTTCGCGTCAATAAAAATTAATCTTAATTTCAGTGCTTTACCAGTTTAAACAGAAGTGGGTTGCGTATTAATACGAATACTTCAGCTTGAGTGTTAGAATTTTGTCGAAAATTCAGTTGTGCGAAAAAAAGTTTTTCAATCTAAAAATTTTGCTTTAATTTTTAAAATTCGATTTCATCTTCGTAATCAGATTCCATTTGAATAACTGAAACGATTCTAAGCAAAATAGTTACGATTATCGCTTGGTTTAAAACTAATCTTCAGAAATTTAAAATACAGAACAGGAGCCGTTGAAAATTGCAGTGCCATGCAGTGGACATCGTATTATTCCAACCTAAATTAAGACTAAGTGAAAATTTTTGCACTTGTTTAGTAAATAAAGGACTTAATTTTTGATGACGCACAATCTGCATTCTTTCACTGGAATGCTTCCGCAGAAACTTTGCAACAAATATTTCTAGTATGTGAAGAGGCAAAGTTTATATTTTTCCTGCACACGAAATCTGTATAATGAAAAAAAAAAGTCTTCGTTAAAAATTTCATTTTTTAATTCGTAAAGGAAAGGATTTTTTCTCTTCCGTTTTATGTAGTAAAAAAAAAAAAAAAAAAAAAAAAAAAGTTTTATGAAATGGTATTTTCTTTTTGTTTTACGGAAATAAGAATGTTTCTTAATTGTGTAATATTTGCTGAAATAAAATACGATAAGCCTAAAATTAATTCCATCATTTATATTACTATAAATTCATATTTTATGGTCATAACTCAGATACATGGAGTTCTACTGTCTATGTACTCATGATGAAAAAAGGATTCGAAGGGATAAAAATAACTCACCCTGAATCTGATATCTCCTCTTGCTCTGTATTTTCAAAACCTCTGTTGACATATTCTCGTTGCTCCCTATTTTCTGTAGCTACATCACTACAGTACTTATTTATAGATATTAAAGAAACTGGATTTTTCATATCGCCGTCAACTAACATTTCAGCCGCAAAAATTATCGGATCATCAAAGAGTTACCGATGTTAAATAATTGTTCACCGTAACACTCATCGCTGTTAAAAGTAGAAAGGAAACTTGCGACCAAGGCTGGAAGAAAATATTCCGCTACTCCGATAGCAACCAATTAGCATCGACGAGAGATGAGACGTCAGATAGACGAGATCTGGAATCAGCGCCATCTTCTGAGCCAACTCTTATTTACACCTAAGAGTGTATGTTTTTACGGTACTTGAAAAGGAATATTCTCAGTTTTTTTTTTTTTTTTTTTTTTTTTTTTTTTGTTTTCTTCATGAAGCTCAATGAATACAACATATTTTGACCTTGATTCTGAATATCAACTATTTATTTAGCATTGAAGAAATTGGAAAATTTAAATAATAAGAAAATAGTATTTTAAGTATTAGAAAAATATTTAGTGTAAATATGCATACAGCACACTTACCGTTAAAGGCATAGTTAATATGAAATCTAATTTTTTTATCAGATTCCGAAAGAATAATCCAACTACCGGTCAATATGCTTGAGACCGTTTTAAAAAAAATTATGAAATATTTTTTGCACACAAACTGATGATGATTTCTTTTTTTTTTTTTTTTTTTTTTTTTAATAGGTGTATATGTCTTATCTTTATAGCTTTTTACATTTGTTTCAAAATCAAACCCTTCTTCGAGGGGTTTTGTTGTAATTTGAAGCCTAAGATGCAATTGTCTTGTCTCGCTGGAGTCGCGCTAATAATTCGTACAGAAATTCTTATGAATTATTAGCAGGGGTTCATTACGTTTAGCCTTTTCAATCTGTTCTATATCTTAAGATATCGCTTTAAGCTCCTTTCTTGATTTTGAGAAAAACTGCGATTTTTTTAGAATAATTCGCCAGGCTTTGTAACATAAATAGAAGGAAAAGATGAATTTTACACCTTATCATTTAAAGGTTGTTTGCATTCATTGGATAGATGCAAGTTATTTACCAGTTTAATAATTTTAAAGGAAAATGCATTCATTGGCAACATTGTATTTCATATCTAGTTTTGGCAACAATAAAAGAAAATTCTGAACTTGGATTTGAAAACCAAATGCATGAGAAACGTCTGTTGCACAACAAAAATCCATTTTGGACAGGGTTCAAGTAAAATCCGTTCTTAGTGCGCGTCTACATCGTGGAATCAGTAACTACGCAAAATTTCAAGTCAATCGAGTGTATAGCTTCGGAAATCTCGCGATGTGTCAGTGATATTTTGCTTATTATTTATTATTTTAGATTATTTTAGGTAGTTGGCTGTGTAAGTAGCTAGTTTCAATAAAGTAATAAAACTACGCCGATACACTTATAAATGTTTTGTGTCAATGCTTACATACAAGAACAGATAACAGTGTTATTAACAGATAAGGAAAACTCGATTTCGAGGGGTCGGAAGGCATTTTTCTCTTTATTTCAACGTCTTCACAAGAATTCTGTCAGAGAAATATCAAATTGACGTTGATCCGTACTTTTTCGCGGGAAGGATAAAATCAGTGTATATGTTACCGTTAAAGTATATAATGCAGTTATTTCATAGAATACCTAGTTATTCCATGAATAACTGATCGTGTCCGTTAAAATGTGTAATATATTAATAATTTGGCACTTTAACTAGTTATTCTATATGAAATAACTAGGTATTCTATAAATTAACTAATGAGAGACAGTTAAAGTGTAAAATAAACAATTTATCTGAAATGAAATAACTAGGTATTCTATAAATAAACTAATGATAGACAATTAAAATGAAAAAGAAGCAATTTATCTAATTTAGGCAGCGTATAAATGGTATTTATGGAAACGTACCATAAAATCATTTGTTACAACAACGATTACTAAAATGATACTTGGAATTACAAAGAACATTATTTCTAAAACAAAAACATTTTTTGCTGACACATTGGGTTTTACACGAACATTTTTTAAATCCCTAACCAGTACCTAAACTTTGAGCTGTAGCAACCGACCGGAGCGATATTTCTACATTTGGTACTTCATCGATTTTAATTAATTTTTGTTCGCAGACACTGAACTGGGATCGGAAATATACTTGTTTTATGCGGTCGTTTCTTGTGCCCAATTGGAAAAATCCTTCTTCGGTTATTTTTATGATGATAGCTAAAATAGATTTGGCATCACCTTTTCCTCTGTCAACTTTCAGGCACTGGGATACGGACGGTAAACCACACAGATGCTTCACAATGAGATTTAGCCGACATTAATTTCATCTTTTTCGCTTGAATTTCTCCCTATGACCTGAAATAGTTCATAAATGCAGTAGGGGTGGAAAGGTAAATGTATTTGTCGTTGACATTTTAAGAGTATGGCGAAAAAGTACACTCGTTGTTTTATGCTTTGGTATTTTTGCCGTCCTTCAAAAATTATTTTTATTTGAATTCGATATAATTAAACGTTTTTTTTCCCTCACTACTTTCCATATTGTTTAACGAAACGTAAATGTACCTTATACTAAAAAGCGAGATATATGATATAGATTATTTTACACTTTAACGGGCTGCAGATCGTTATTCTATGAAATAACTAGTTAAACCATGAAATACAAGAGGGTTTTACACTTTAACGGACACGCTCAGTTATTTCGTGGAATAACTAGGTATTCTATAGAATAACAGATTTCATACTTTAACGGTAACATATATATCTTTGTATAGAAAATTTAGTACGTGCTTCTGTAAAGAAAAACATCCTAATGCAATATATACAAAGTGACTTTTTAATTTACATGGTTTTTAATTAAACACACTAAATAATAATAAAAAAATAATCAGTTATCCTTTATTTTATACATATGACTAAAAATATAATCGTAAGCTGCAAACAATGGCTAATTTTAAATCAAAATTCTCAAAGAGAAATGTAAGCGAAATGAATGTAATCATTTTGATATATGCATATTTATACAGGGTGCGGCGGGGAAAATACCGTATTTTAAAAATGAATAACACAATAGTATATGCGATATCAGTTAATTTTTTCCCAAGTTATTAAACTTAAAGAGAAACACTTATATATTTTTTTTTAATTTTATTATTACAGTTTAAAAATAACATCATTAAGGTGGCCTCTGCTCTGGTCAATGCATGGAGATAGTCGAGTTTTGAAGTTTCTTTCCACTTTTACCAACATATCAACGGGTATGTTGTCCATTAGCAGCTTGAATATTGTTCTTCGGTTGAGCCAGTGTCTTTGGACGTTAGAGATTTCAGATAGCCCCACAAAAAGAAATCACACGGGGCTAAATCAGACGAGAGCCCTGACCGCCTGACGATCGCCTCGTAAGGAGATAAGGCGTCCAGGGAAATGTTCTCCAAAAGCCCATGGTCCAACGATGCCTATTCTGGACAATGCACACGAAACATTCACACGTTCTGTATGGAGGGACTGCTCATGAAATTCTCGGGGATTCGTGCCCATTATCGCATGTTTTGCTTAAAGCACGCTACAACCGGAAAGATGAAAATGAGCCTTATTGCTAAAAAACACAAGGGCATCACGAGGCATATTGTCAAGAACGGCTTTTAATGCATTTTTTCGTGAAAGCAAATCGCGCCGATTAAGTTTTTGCACCACTGCCAATTTATATGGATGAAAATGCAGTACGTTGAAAAGTATGACTCCACGGAGAACGCGTTATAACGTAGGCCATTGGTAAGTAGCAATAGTCTGTCAACAATAAGTAATAATGCCATTATCAATACTGCCTTAGACTTTCCCAGCTTGCAAATGCTGTGATGACCTGGTTAGGCCATGTAATTTTCTATACATACAACAACAAAATACAGAGGCTCGGACAAGCGGATGGGAGAATATCCCCGGAGGGCGCTTTTGGTCAGTGGGACCGTCCTCGGGATACACCGGGCGCTGGGTTTCGGCGCCCCGTGCGAGACCCTCGTGTGGCCCTCAAGTTCGACTATAGATACTGGTGGACGTGGCGCTACACCAATTAACCATATGGTAAAGGGGTGGTGCCCACGTCCTCCGTCGCATGTCGCATGCTCTCTCGTCCTCTGCATGATCGGTACTAAACCTGCATGACATAAAACTTTAGACGCCGCTGTTTCAATGAGCGCCACCCCGCCCTTCTCGGAATAAATATCGCTAGATGGCGCGCGTTTCAAATAAGGAAGTTTCCCTGCCGCACCCTGTACTATTTACGTCTGCTTTTTGATATTCTCTCCTAAGATAATTCGAGTGTGAAAGCTCGACGATTTTATTTTACCACATTATTAGAAATGTATTTTTCGATTTTCGATGCAGTTAATTAAAGCCGAGTCATTTGAAAATGTTTTTAAACATTTTATTTTCAATTTTTTAGTTTATAAAATAATTAAGAGAGAAAATCGCTGGCTCTGAACGTGGGAAAATTGTTCCATCTTATCTGGCGCAAAGTCGTTAAAATTTCTATATTGATTCTGAAATCCAGTCTCACAATCACTTAAAATCGCTGGGAACGTTCTATAACAACGTTCTATTAGTTCTATTAGCAACCAACATAATAGCTAAAAACGTTTCGTTTAGTGTAATATTTACTATGGGTGGTTCATTTTATTTTCCGTATTCATCACTTTCCAAGACATAGTCCTGTCTACGCTTATTTTACCAAAGTGTGGTTTTACATAATAATCTTCCTAGAAGTGTACTCTTCGATATTCCCCTTTGTAACTGAATCAATCATAGATTTCGAAGAATCACTAATTCTCTTTTCTTACTAACTCTGTTGAGACATTAGGTATATTTTTGGAAGCAGAAGAATTGAAAAATTTGAACGCCTTTGCCGGGAATCGAACCACGGACCTCTCAGTTACGCGCTGAGTGAACAGACCACCACACCACGAAGGCACCCAAGAAGGCGGAAGAAATACCTTATAACATATGACCAAGAATATACTGCGATAGCTCATTTTCTTTAGGACATATATTCAAATTGGCTTCCTAATCTAAACAAGAAAGAAAAGGAAATGAAGAAAACGCTTCTAAAAAGAGAAAATTCTTTGAATCGGCATAATAAATATGATATCGTCTTCCTTTCAAGATCTCCCCACTTTTAGATCTCCTTAGTGATAATGTAA